CACACCCCCACCCTGTTCCCCCCACACCCACTCACTTAGTCTTATAGTGGGGGCAGAGGGCACCAGCAGGGCTAAGGGGCTGCAGGTCAGGAGTGCGGGGGCACTGGCATATCAAGGCTACTCAACACCACAAAGCAGCGGGGGGAGGGGAGGGAGGGGACACAGCCAGAGCTGGATCAGCATCCTGGTGAGCAAAGGGGGCAGGGAGAGCTCTGAGTTTCTATGATAAGAAAACAAAATTCAAACACCAAAATATATAGGTATATAGATATTTAGAATTTATTTTATTATATTGAATGAGGCACTGATAGGCTTCCAGCCCACTTTAAAATTGGAAATATATTAATAAAACATTGTGTTTAACTAATACCTATAAGAAAGGGAGAGTCATTTCTTTTTCTTTGTGGGAAAAGTAAAACCCCACAGATTGCGGGGGTTATTTTAATCAGAGAATTTGGGATTTTTAAACAAAGAAAACCAAGATCCCTGCTCATGAGCAATTTGCAAGAGGTAGCAACACTGAAAAAAGGTCACATTGGGTGTGTCTACACAAGACGCTTTACTGCAGAACCAACTAATGAGCTCTGCTGTAAAGCATCACCATTTACACATGCAGCATTATTAGGCTACAGTGAACTAATTTACTGTGCTGTAGGATAGTACTGCCAGACAGAAAATCTTTCCTACAACAGAGTAGTTACACAGGACAAAACACATATGTAGATGGTGACGGGGCTGGCTGGGGCACGAGGCTGCTACACTGCAGGAGCTGCCTGCTGCCAAGATCTGCACTGGAGCACGCTCATGCCCCAGCCAGCCCCTCTGCAGCACACTGAGTTGGGTCAGAGCAGCCCTGGGCTGGCAGGCTGACCCATGGGGCTCCCTGCCAGCCAGTTCAACATGCTCTGGTCCCAGGCACATGTGCAAATGCTCTACCCGTGAGCAATAAACTCCAGAGCACTTCACAATAACAGCATGTGTAGATGTGTCCACTGAGTCCAATCACCTGCATGTCTGATTAATTTACAAAAGGGAAGGGAGAGTTGGTGCTTAGGAATGAGCAACAGCTGTTATAATTGTTACCTGTTCCTGTAGAGATACAAAGGAACCATGAAAATAAACAACGTTGCATCAGTTTTGCTGGAGTGGCATGACTGCAGGGCAATGCTGAGGTACCAGTAGCAGTACCTGCATCAGCTTTCATACCCCCACAAGGTCAGTCCCAGTTAGCATGGCTGCTTCCTTTTCTACTGCACTTCCCCTGACTGCTCAGTGGAGCCTGTTCATACCCTTCAAGTCAAAGAGTTCCCAATCAGTGTCCTCTACCTCCACCCCCATTGCTTGGCCTACTCCTGTTCCCCACAACCCTCATCCCTGGGTGCCCACCTTTGCCCATTTGGCAGGGTCTGCTTCTCACAGTCTATGACCTAGCAATGTACCATCCAGCCACCTGAAACAATGGCAGTCACTTTGTCTGTGGTCACAGCTTCAAGCTCACTCCAGAAGTTGGCAGCCTCCTACCTTCATCTTCATCTCTACAGGTGTAGACTGCAGTGGCCATCTTGCTATCTTCAGCTCAGCCAGCCATAAATGTGAGAAGGCAGGCATTATGATTCAGGGAAAATTTACAAGATTTTCCTGCCTTCCATAAAGAGGACAAAAAAGAAAGGGGAAGGGAGGAGACCCCCCCTTCCCCCAGAGTCTACAGAGTCATGATTAAATCACAAGGAGTTGACAACACTATAATAGAAAATGAGGGTTGGAAGGGACCTCAGGAAGTCATCTAGTCCAACCTCTGCTCAAAGCAGGACCAGCCCCAACTAGATCATCCCAGCCAAGGCTTTGAGCTGGGCCTTAAAAACCTCCAAGGATGGAGATTCCACAGCCTCTCTAAGTAACCCATTCCAGTGCTTCACCACCTCCTAGGGAGAAAGTTCTTCCTAATATCCAACCTAAACTTCCCTTGCTGCAACTTGAGACCATTGCTCCTTGTTCTGTCATGTGCCACCACTGAGAACAGCCCAGCTCCATCCTCTTTTGAAACCCCACTTCAGGGAGTTAAAGGCTTCTATCAAATCCCCTCTCAGTCTTCTCTCCTCCAGACTAAATAAGCCCAGTTCCCTCAGCCTCTCCTCAGAAGTCATGTCCCCCAGCCCCCAAAACCATTTTTGCTGCCCTCTGCTGGACTCTCTCCAACTTGTCCACATTCTTTCTGTAGTTGGGGAGGGGGGGGGCACAAAACTGGACACTACTCCAGATGTAGCCTCACCAGTGCAAAATAATCACTTCCCTCGATCTGCTGGCAATGCTTCTGCTAATGCAGCCCAATATGCCATTAGCCTTTTTCACAACAAGGGCACATTGTTGGCTCATGTTCAGCTTATTGTCCACTGTAACCGCCAGGTACCTTTTCTGCAGAGCTGCTGCTTAGCCAATTGGTCCTAAGCCTGTAGCAGCGCATAGGATTCTTCCATCCTAAGCGCAGGATTTTGCACTTGTCCTTATTGAACCTCATGGCATTTCTTTTGGCTCAATCCACCAATCTGTCTAGGTCACTCTGAATCCTAGCCTTACCCACCAACATATCTACTACACCCCCCACAAGCTTGGCGCCATCTGTGAACCTACTGAGGGTGCAATCCATCCCATCTTCCAGATTGTTAATGAAGATCTTGAACAAAACTGGACCCAGAACTGACCCCTGGGGCACTCACCTAGATACCACCTGCCAACTAGACCTCAAGCCATTGATTACTACCTATTGAGCTTGATGATCCAGCCAGCTTTCTATCCACCTTACATTCCATTCTTCCATTCCATATTTCCTCAGCTTGGTTTAAAGTATGCTGTGGGAGACCACATCAAAAGCCTTGCTAAAGTCAAGGTACATCATGTTCTTCTAGTGCTGCTGTTGCAGGGATGTGAGACCTGGTTCTCACTCGCTCATTGGTGAGAAACGTGGAGTAAGTGAAGGGATGATTCACTTGTTTGTTTTACTTGTATAGTCATTAAATGCAACACGGTTATGCAAATAAGCCTTCTTGTTTGCTTTGTATTGTGCACCTGGCTGGCCAGTGAGTCAATGAGAACTGGATCAATATTGAAGCATGACTGTATTTACATAGCGGCACCCTCTTCCAGGCATCTGAGGGAGCAGAAGGGAAGTGGATGGGGCCATTTGCAGTGTGGATGGTGCAGAGAGGACAACTCCCCCTTGCAGCAGCACAGGGCCCTAGGCACATGCCTGGTCTGCCTGTGTGTTAATCTGGCCCTGCTCACCACTGACTGGTAGAGAGGCCTGGAGGGGGTAGCCACTATCTTGGCTGCTGGCTGCCCTGCCAGCTGGTGCCTTCCCCTCCCAGGCAGGCTGCAAGCAGCAAGGGTCACTGGCTCCCACTAGGGATCCAGCATTTTATTTTTATAAAGTTGTTTTTTTACATCAATTTCATGGACAATTGCAGATTTTGCAGTTTCCATGAAATCACAAATTCAGTAGGTCCCTAGTAATTAAGTGTCAGCTGCTGTCATTACTTGTCAGACTCCCTGGACACCCTGCAGGGGTCTCCCCATCAGCACAGCCCAGCAGGTCTGAGCACACGTTCTAGGTTAGGAATGGACTCTGAAGCTTTCACAGGAATTACCTCCTAAATTTACGCTCGGTGAATGGTCTGTCAGAGAAACCTGCCTTTTACACCTGCTTTCAGTACAACAACCAGCCTGACGCCCACAGGGCTGTCAGGTAATAAAATCAAAGAGTAATCAAAAACAAGAAAAAAATAGACTGAACTACCATGAAAACTTCTTGAGCATGAGATCTAGTGGGCTGTAAACTCATATCATCTCACCTCACTGTTTCAGATATTCATGGTAGGTCTATGTACTAGTTAAGGTCAACTTTAAGGCTGGTCCCAAGCCCATGCTGACCTACACTGTAAACTATTGCAGGGCTCTTGGTGGTTATCCAGGTTGGCTCAGAAGTTCTCATGAACTTCCAACAGAACATCAACCTTGCTCCTACTTGCATCTCAGCAGTATAGCTGTATAGGCTTTAAGCACAGAAGTCTTCCTGCAGCAATCCCACAATTTCCTGTTCCTTACTTCTGGCCCTTCTGCACATACCCCAACCCAGAACAAGAGGGGAAAAAAAAAAAACTACAGAAGGAAGGATAAGGAGACTTCAGACTGATTCCTAGAAGGAGTCCACTCAACAAGTGGAGAGCAATTTGGTGTGGACTGAAAGATGAGACAGATGGGGAGAGATGGCATAGGCGGATCAAGCTAGTGAAGAGCAACCTTTAGGTCAACCCTAGATATCAGTGTAGACATACTCTTAGTTAGAACGGGCAGTGTATTGGTAACATGTACCAGGCCAGAGCGGTAAGGATGAAACGGATGTGGTAGGGAATGGCAGACAACCCTGTAGGACCCCAATCTTTGGCACAGGGTGTACACTGGAGAAAAGTCAGATTTTTCCAAAGCGATTAAAACCTGGTACCACCTCTAAAAACACAGAACTGGGGGAGAAGTAGATGCTCCATTTCACCTTTCCTGACAAATTTGTCTTCAACTGAGAAAGGCCAAGGTTTCTAAAATCACTAAGATTTCTGAAGTCAGTAACCAAAAACAGACACCCAGAATCACTAGCCACTTCATAAAGTCAAGATCTAGAAAGGATTATTAACATGATTAAACACAGTTCTATTTCAACAAAAAAAAGTAATTCTAAGAAAAAGAATACAACTGCGCTTACCTCACAAGAGTTGTGAAAATCTCCTGAGTCTTCCATGCATTCAAATGCTGATCTCAATTTCCCGCGTCCTAAACTATCTCTGCAGAATGGCAAGGTGGCAGTTCCTGTTTGATTAATTAGTGGTTTTCATTATTCTTGAGAGTAAAATGTATCAATTCATTTCTTTGTACAGAAGTTAGACTTTGTTATTGGACCAAGTGTTTTGATTTTGTGGCTGTTCTCTTTGTGTTATAAAAAGACATTCTTTGCAGGCTGCAGCCAATTGTGCAAAAATAGAAATTTGAAATCAAGTTATTCTGTAAGGATTGCTGCACCTTAGGTTACTGGTATGAATCCACTGCATCTCACTGTTCATTCACTATGCACAAATGCACACTCTCCTGGGAAGTATAATACGAGAGGGAGTTGGCTATACAAATGGGTTCAGTGGTAACCTGGGACTCAGAAAGTATGGGTTCAGTTCCCACCCCCCCACCCTCCACCTC